CACGAAGTGCCCAAATTTGTGACGAGGTACACCATTCATTCATGGTCTAATGATGTCTCATGTGCCTACCAAGCGTCACTCAATCACTCACATTGGCATCCATTTGGCGCATCTTCAAGATGTCAATCAGGATCCCAAGCTTCAAAAAGGTGCGTAGGGGAGCATGTAACATCATGTAACTAGGTCTTCGCAGGCTGAGGCATTCTGGCGTTTGTGGAATCAAATACCATTGTGGCGTTTGACACGAGAGACCAAGTCCAAGAGGGCAAAAGGGGCCAGGACGTTGGTTTGTGACTGAGGCAGTTTGCCACCGTACTGGTCTACGACGACGGAGCCTAAGAACGAAACCTTGACTTTGCTTTATACTTTGTGAAGAAGAGAAAGAAAGGAGGATAGCTTGCCGGGATGAATGATTGCATGATTTTTTGTTGGCTGCCAGTTGAGTCAACAGGTTGGTCAGGTGTCCCAGAAGCAATTTGTTGCGAAGTTCCTGGTCAACGCTGAAGTCATCAACCGGTTTTGTGAAATCCGTGACAGGTGGCTGACTGGCGATGGTCGAAGGAGGCACTCAGGAAGTCCAATTGAACAGATGAAACTCTCAATACTCCATGAAGCAGAAATGCCAGTATTATCAAAACCATCCAAAACTGCTTAGGTGATACCAGGACACGTCCAGTCAGCCCCGAAAGATGCTGAACACCCTTAAAAGGAAATAAATTGGATAAGAAAAGGATTTCCGGAAGAGATTCGTTGCACGGTTCCAGGGACGTGTTCCTGACCTCCCAACGCCGCGGACGGTCCAACCGGCCAAGTCTTGACAGACCCACGTGCCATCGCAGACATCGCGGTTTTCACTCATCCGAACGCCAGGCCATGTCTCTTTGTGTGGCACCCGGACTGGTCGATGGAACCACTCGAGCCTCTCGTTCTGAGAAGAGTTGCGCATAGCTGCGCACAGCGAGTGAGCAAAAACGCCGCGCTTGCACATGGTCGGGGCCGGTCCAATGTCGCCTAGGCTTTATGGCAGTTCAAGAAAACCATGGGGAAGAGAAGCATGAGAAGCCTAGACTCAAACTCGCTTCGCCTCAAGCCAAACAAGAATATGGATCCAGTCCAGACATTGGCAGGATTTGCATGTCCCCGTTGGCTGGCAAATCTATCGAATTGCTCCGCCAAGCCCATTGGGGTTTTGTCCAGACGAAGCATTTTTTGACTTGCTGGCATGTGCATGCCATCTTGGGTTGTCTGTGGGAGCACGCTGAAAGAGTTTCCTCTCCGAGTCAAGCCACATCTCCTCAGCAATGGACAACCCAAGGTGTGTTTGGACATTTGAGCTGAACCCTGCTTCCTGCATGACTCATGGCCATCCCCAAATGCGACCCATAAGTGAAAACTCATAACAAGCTCTTTGGTATTATAGTGTGAGAGCAACCCACAGGATGCAGAGGTTCGTAGGTGCTCTTTTAAGACGTCCGAATTTGAGCAGTTGCCACTTGACATGTGTTTCAGTTTCATTGTCACACGGCTCTTTTGTTTTGATTGAAACTTGATTTGGTGTTTTCTTTGGTGGTATCCATTAGGAGAAACCTGTTGCTGGCTTGGTGGCAACGCTGTGCATTGGATTTCATAGTTCATTGCTTACAATGCATCAAGGAAGCTTGACAACCAGCTACGTCTCGCCATTGAATGCTAAGCCCTAGAGACGACTCACCTGCAGCTCTGGAAATCTACTCGTACAAAGAGATTCAAGCCAGTTGCCATCCCATTAATTACCCCCTTCCAGTTGCGACTTGAGCCAAGTGGTTTGAGGGTGACTGGAAGGATAAATTGGAAGCTGTCAGACAATTCACTGGTTTATGGGGAACATCCGAGCATGCTTCGTTGGACGCTTCGCGCGATGGGAACCCTGGAAAATGGCACCCTGTTGGAAGTCCCAGTCTGACAGGCCAGTTTAAGGCACTGGTGGAGCATGAAGGTGAACGGGGCGATGAGATAGGGCGCATTCGCCGGCCATCTCCGAAAGCTTTTAGAGGTGTGGAGCTGAGTCAAATCAACTCGAAGTTTCGACAGTGCGAACAAGCCAGGAGCCCCGTTCGTAGCAACCTTGCTCCTAGTAGCAATGCCCTCTGCCCCTAGTAGCGTCCTTGCTCCCGCAATCTCAGGTCAACGTCACCGATCTGTGCGAAGCGGGCCAGGAACTTTGTTTCGTGCTTTCGAGTACAGAACATCTGGCGTGGCCACGCGCATCTTGCTGAATGCTGTATCCATGACACTGATCCATCACGGCATTCACATGAATTTTGGGTCGTCTCGAGTCCTTCCCTGTCACCTTTTGGGAGCATTTGGAGAGAAACTTGGCAACTTCCGACTTTCGCAGTTCCTTGGCCCAGGCAGCCCAATCTGGTGCCGCTGTAGGTCGCCACTCCGTGAAGAAAGCCGGAGACCAAAAAGCGCGGCAGCTGGTTGGAACTGGAAGGTTGAATTGCTTTGGAGAAGGGATCATGGATGTTCATTCCAATTGATGAGGTGACTGGAATCACAGATTTTCCATGATGTTCCTCCCTGTTAGTTGTGTCCATTCTTGGTGTGGGAAGCATGCGTTTGGGATTTTGCTTGAATCAATTGGAGCAGCGATGTTTTGGCAGCTCACAGCAGATGTGCCGATGGTGTTGGCTTGAAGCTGAACCTTCAACGAGAAGGGAGAAATCCTCAAAGAAAATTCGGCTACGTTAACCTATGATGAATGGCTTTCAACAACCACCTCCCGATTCATCTTGGAGAAAACCGGGGTCCAAAAGCAGGCACAAAACACATCCAAAAGAATCCAATAGATAATAGATATGTTTATCCACAGATGTGGGCGCTTTGCACAGGCAGGCGCAAGCACCTAGCGACTCGACAACTGACAGAATGTAGCTTTATCCAGTGACTCGGCTCGGACGAGGGTTTTTCTGGGCATAGCAACAGTGATTGTGTAGCATGGACTGAAGTTCCCTTGTTAAACATTTATATAGCGATGCCAGGAGCTACTAGTAGCGTCCTACAGAGGACCTAGCTGTCACATCAAAGCCTACCTGATGCCTCATGGTGCGATGCCGGAATCTCACGAAAGCTAGGAGCCTCAGGAACTGGGTGGTGCATCGAAAGGAGTGCCTTTTGGACGAGGGTTCTTCTTCAGAGTTTAGAGTTTCATAGATGTTTCATGATTATTCATTTCATAACATAATATTGTTTTTGGATTTGTCTCTAATTGGAATGTGTACCATACTAGACCGTACAGGCATGAGAATGTTCGAGTGCGAGGAAGGAAGAGAAGATCATGTCCGACGACTTGAGGTATTGATCCTAGCGTTTCTCTTTAGACAGCTAAGCACGGTTCCTCAGCTGCCGTTGTCGTGCCGTTTCATGAAGATCTGAAAGACTCCCGAGAAGCATGACCATTGGAGCTCCCCCTGCATCTCATGTTGTGTCCCTTGGAAGAGTCCCTTTGCAATTCTGTTTGCAATCCACCAACTCCGTTGGCCTGAGTAGCCCGCGCCCGAAAGCAGGCCAAGCTGGCCATGGAGCTCTTCTAGGGGTGCGCATGTGTGCAGGATTATTTTGAGTAGGTCGACATGTTTGCCCACATTCCAGATGATACAAAAAACGAGTTGTTTGACAAAGCGGCTCTTCGAGATTGATAGATGAGACAAAAACGAGTGATGCAAGTTGAAGTCAACAGTCAACAAGCTGTTTTCACAAGTACAAGTACAACACAACACCTTGCAGCTGGACGATCGCTCTGGAAATCACGGACCGAAGCGCCGGCCGCAGGTGAAATCTGGCTGGAAATGGTGGTGGGGTCGCTCAGAGTTGCTGGGAAAATCGCTGCTACATTCCTTGGATTTCGTGGAATATCTTGAACGGAATGACGTGGGGGTCGTCCGGGATCGTTTTCTTTGGGCCAGCGGGGTCGTTCGCCAAAGCGAGAGGCCAAAGCCGCACCATGAGCCCCAGCCTCCGCCGCCCGCAGAGGCCGCAAGGTTTTTCGACGCAGGTACGACGAGGTAGCCCAGCAGTCGGAGCCGCATGCATCAATGTCGGGCAAATGACTGGTCTTCAGTGCGTATTTGTTGCAATTCAAGAAGTGTTGCTGATGGCAAAAGCCATGGCAAAAGCCATGGCATATGTAGGTAGGAGGTCTTTTGGAATGGTGTGTGTGTGTATTGTCACTCACCTTTGAAATACATAATGAATCATAATGATATAACATGATATGTGTGTATGTGTATATATATATATGTACATCTTCATGATGTATATCATTGATGTATACGTGTACTTGCTTGCAAACAAATACATCAATGTGGATCTGTAGCTTGACAGCAAGTGCAATAGATTGTTGATAGGTATTTTCAGTTGAAATTCTTACTGAGCTGTCTATATTTAGAAAGAGGCTTCTGAGATTGGGGCAGGAGTTAGTTTGGGCTACTGTATATAATCCTTTTGGTTTTGTTTGTCATGAAGTGGGGGTCGTCTTCACATCAAGCATCCCTTCCAATTCCCGAAGGGTACCACGTTCCCTTTCAATGTTGAGACAAGTTACCTCACCGTCATGTTCTTCACTCTCGTTTGCCATGGGTTCACGTGCAGAACGTTGTGGTTCTGTCCAATTCCGTTGACAATGCTTCATCGAAAGGATGCAAGAATTAACTCGGTTCAAGGACAGTCATTAAAATGTGCGGTCTGTCCAAGTTCCCTACCCTATATTTTCACTGCTCAAAGGCAAGGTGCTCTTCAATTATGATATTGTCCCTATGGCCATATGGTCGAGAAAAATCGCATCAACTCCCTCCCTGGTCAGGAGCCTCATCATACTCCAGGCCAACTATTGCGGAGAGCTGCGCTGAAACTGTCCAAAAGAACTAAAGCGCCCGGAAGTGGTAAGATATGGTAAAACATTCTCCAGAATGGCCTTGGATTCGTTGGATTTGACGGAGTCGACTCCGCGACACCGACAGATGGGCAGCACGAGGAGTCCATTTTTGAGGCTGGACATCCGAGCGGAGAAGCCGTACACCCTTGTGGGACACGCAACGGACACACCGTTGTGGGCGCACAGGGCCCCTGATTGTTGGTAGCATCTTTTGAGAACATTGAATAAATACTGTCGATTTTCACGTGGGACTTGATGCGTCATACTAAAGCTGATATTCTTTGTCATCTTCATTTGTTGCAAGGAGTGTTCCAGCTAAAACGCGGCACCTTGCTGAAAGTGACATCTTATTGGCGGTACTTGTAAGTCGAAAAGGGTTTGTCAATATCTTCATAGACAATAGATCAGGATTATGATGTTGCTCAAAGATTCATGACAATGTCATCCTCGCAACACTGGCTTGCTTACAAGATGTTGGGGTCGGCGACCGGCGACCGCCCTTGGTCTTTTTTTCCAGCGATCGACAGGAGTTTGTCGACGAAGTAAGACTGTGCCCATGGCTTCTCTTCGTCAGCTCCTCAAGTGGCTCGTGCTATCAGAAAATACCAAATATGAGGATGCAGGTTTGGCAAGTGTACTGGAAAAAATATGCAAAATTATGTCAAGGTGAATTGAGAGGGGATTCTTAGGGGATGACGCAGGAAAAACAGTTCAACAGATGTGTGGACGTTCTCTTTGATTTGCTTCTCATGGAGTTTTAGTGCAGATATGCAAGGCAGAGATCAGTACAGTGGTGGTTTTGGGCGCCCTCTTTGAGCAGCTACAGCATTGGGTCAGAGAGCACTTGGACCACTCGGGCGACAAAGTGGGAATGTGCCTGGTCTTGAGTCAATTAGAAGCTGTGAGTCGACAGTTTCTTTCGTGTGTGTTTTTTGTTTTGTTTTCTTCCACCCTGGACCAGATATCTGATATGATGAGATCAAGGTGCAAGGTAGCTTGCACCTTTGCCTGGTGCAAGGTAGCTTGCATATTTGACATTGTTTGATTTGTCATGCCTATACTTATCGAACGTTCAGCGACATTAGCGATGATCCATATTGGAAGACTGCTGTTCAGGCAAATTATGGATGTCCTTTTCAGGGAGTTCTCTGGATTGGGCTTCATAGGCACCTGCTCGGGAGGATGAAAGGAGACGTGGATGCTCTGAAGTATCACCTGTGTTTTGAGCCTACAAAACCAGTTGCAGGCTAGGGAGTCTTCTTGCGAGTTCAAACCAGCCAGCCACAGAAGCCAGTTGGAAGCTGAAAATGCCAACCTGTTGGGCAGGCATGTTCCTTTTCCTGGTGACACAGAGCCACATCACTGCTGATGTCTTGGGCAAGAAGGTTTTTGGACATCATTTGGATAAGATGGGCACTGAAGACCCAATTGCTGAATCCTTCGAAACCGCCCGACGGCTGCACATGAGATCCATGGTCACTCGAGCGGGGTGCAAACATGTTTCATTTGGATTCATTTGGCCAGTCAGTACCAGGTCCTCCTAACTACTAGTAACAAGAAGTCCAGTTTGCGATTGAGAAACTCTTCAAGACAGATGGGTCTAACGGCATTTGCACATCAAGAGCCGCAGTTTGGAGTTTGTGCATGACGAGCGTTAATCAGCTTTATATAATTATGCTTAGTCATTCTTCTATTTTGTATATCTAAACCTGGTGGTGTATTGGGAGCTGTCCAGAAAGCTCGCAAGGTCCACATGATGATTTTCCTGCTGATGGCAGTTCTTCTTTTCCAGGCCTGAACATGAGCAGAGCATAGGAGAGCAGTGTGTGAAATACATGGAAAGAAACAGACCTTACATGACCTTACCAAAAAGAAACAGACCTTCCCGAAATTCTCCAAGTTCACTTCGACGAGGCCATGGCCATGCTGCGTGTGACGCAGGGGGTGATCGAGACCTGGGGCCGCTACGAGCGGTGTCGCTCCTGGGGGCTGCGCCAGGCGATTCCCGGGGCGCTCGGGACGTGTGTGGCGGATCGGCACGGATCGGCACGGTGCGGTCACGGGGGTCACTGTGGGTGTTAAAGTCATGCACTTGTTACTAGTAGCGTTCTTGTTACTATACTAGTAAGGCACTTGTTACTAGTAGCGATGCACTTGTTACTACTAGCTTCTTGTTACTACTCACATGGGTTCCTTCCAGTTCACATGGAGCTACGGCCATGGCACCCCCAGCTATGGATGGTGGACAGCGGGGATGAGCATCAATCCAGTATTGAGGGGGTTTTCGACCAGGTGAACTGGCCGCTCACCTGTTCCGAAACCGGCAATGGCTGACCCCGTGTTTTTTTGGACCCTTTAGAAAAAGCTCAAGGGCAGGTCTTCCGATGGCTTTGACGGTCTTCCTTGCCTCAGACTCACTGCACCCAAGTCTTCTAGGACTCCTTGGAGTCTCTCTTTTGCGATGGGGGCTACTTGGAGCGGGTGGCTTCAAAGACCGCACCCCGAGGCGACTCTCACATCAGGGAGAGGGCTGAGGGCTCGACGGAAACAGGTTGACGCATGTCGAAAGGCGAACATGGTGGAAGCAACACTGAAATCAGAAACTTCAGCCGTGTCACCACATCATCAGTTTATGTTCCATCTTGTTCCATGGTTTTCCTAATAATCAGCCGGACTGATTGATGCGGACTCAAGCCATGAGGTTTGCAAGACTGCTGATTAATGTATCCGTTCCTTTGAAGCCAACAATCCAGATCGCAACCGTTCAATTCAAGAAGCATTTGTCAGCATTTTTTTCAAAACATGCCAGGTGGGTTGACAATTTGGGGTAAAAATAGATCAGTCCATGTCCGTAACTTCGGATGTTCAAATCTCGCAAAACGTGTGTGGCCTGTCGTCGACCTGGAGGTTTGGAGCTGAAATTCCGAGAGGACTTCACCTACCAAGAGCCCTTCTTGCAATGGATGATGCTTCACCATGACCGACTGAGTCCAACCGTGTTGTTTGGCTCGTTTGAAAGAAGCGAAATGACATGGTCAACGAATTGAAATGTTTGCAAGGCTACAGGACTGCTGCACGAAGCTTTGTTGTGGATTTACATGAAAGATTCACATGTCACATATTTTAATAATTGCATGTATGTGTGACTATGTGCATTTGGTCTTTGAATGGCTCTTGAATTTAAGGGAATGCTTCTTCAGATCAATGGAATTATGGTGATATGTCTCATGTCCAGCTGCTGTAGCTAGGTGAAGAAAGGTCTAATAGTTAAGTTTCCCTTAAATTCTAGGAACCAAATGAATAATAGTGTGAGCGCTTCTTCAAGGAAGCTCCGGCGGGGGAGCTTCCTTGAAGCGTGAGCTATCCTGCGTCCTATGTAGCTACTTAAACTACTAGCTACCTCTCCCTTGCTTACAAAAAGAAGCGCTTAAAAAAGAAACTAGGGATTTGGAGATCTTCCAGCTTTGGAGGACTTGCTTCATAATTTGGTGATGTGGAGAGCCATCCGCCATCAGTTCATTTTTGGTCGACGGTCAGAGGCGGAAGTGGACTTTTTGCGGCCATGGGCCATGTATTTATTTCATACAGGTAGAGACCTACATAGATAATCACAGATACCTTCCCAAATGTCAGATCGTCGATTTTTACGACAGAGTTGGTTGTCCAGAACACCGGTCATCTCCACAGAAGACTGATGGTACTCCTTGGATTCTGAAAACAGCTGACTACAATCTGACTGGATGTCAAGTGTAGAACTGTCCTGAGCCCAACAAACCTTTTGCTGTTGCGTTTTTGATGTCCAGTCATCAAAGAGACCCGGTGATCCCCAGTCGCAGGTGAAGAGTGGACAGATTTCATGCCCACGGCAGTTTAGTTTTGAGTCCTATCTTCGTGAACGCTTGGGTCACATCGTCGTTTGCGTCGTGGAGGTGGATCGGAACATTTGGCTGATGAAGCTTGGTTGGAGTTCAAACTTGCAAAGTGCATTCTGAGGGCGAGGTTTAACGTATTTTAATGTTAAAGCATGCTCAAACCTTTTAGATGACATTAGTCGACCAGGATTCTTCCGTTGCGTGGTCACACATTGTGTTTTTTCTCAATATGTGTTTCAAAAACTCGAAGTCGCCATCCATCTCAGTTAGCTAAGGACCTTGTTGGTCTTAACGCCTTCAGTCTTATGCTGTGTGTCGATGGACATCTTCCATGTCGGAGAGTTCCTTTGTTTGAGCGCCTACTTCTTGTTGGCCATGGGTGTCCTGATCGGCCACATCCTGGAGACAGATACCTTGTGGCTCACCCCCATCTTGCCAACAGATGCACGCAAAATACTGATTCTCTTCTCTGGCACAAGCGCCTCAACTTTAAAGGTTCGGAGGGTGCAGGAGGTAGAGTTTGTATTGGAAGAGGGAGATCAGAAGAGAGACTTCCAAAATCCTCCGAAGTCGTGGTAAAAAAGAAACAATATTGCTGAGAAAAGCAGAGGAGCTCAAGCAAGTGCAAGTGAATCAAGTGGAATAGCTCCTAACATTCCAGAAAGCCAAAAAGCAATAGACTTCCCAGCCCATGATGTCGTAAGGCACTTACATGCTCATGAAGCAGTATGATGCCTCCACCCTGAATGCTGAGCTCAAGTTCGGCGCCCCCGGCCTGCAAGGTTTAGAAGCTCAGGAGGCCACTGGAGCAGCACATCATACATACATACATACATACATACATACATGCAGACATGCAGACATACAGACAGACAGAGAAAGAGAGACAGACAGAGAAAGAGAGACAGACAGAGAAAGAGAGACAGACAGAGAAAGAGAGACAGACAGAGAAAGACAGACAGACAGAGAAAGACAGACAGACAGAGAAAGACAGACAGACAGAGAAAGACAGACAGACAGACAGACAGAGAAAGACAGACAGAGACAGACAGACAGAGACAGAGACAGAGACAGAGAGAGAGACAGACAGAGACAGACATACAGACAGACATACAGACAACTATGTATGTCATACATCATGCTGCAATGGAAATTGCCGCCCTTTTGTAACCCCTTTATGTTCACTGGATTACAGCTCTGTAGGAGATTGATTTTTTGTATCAATGGCGCGTAGGCGATTTGGAGACCTTTCGAAAGCCGACGAACGGTCACTGCAGCCGATGATGGCGCAGGTCGAGTTGGGCAAGCCCCCGGTCAGCGATCCCAAGCGCTTGCGATTGACGTCTTCCAGGTGACGGTGATGAGTTCGAACTGGGCACTTAAACACACATAAGTTTGCTCAACAAAAGCATCTCTTTTGGGGAGGAGGAACTAAGTTTAAGCACCTCTTGGATCTTCTTGGATGAATATGTTGTCGCAACATCCAGGAGAATCTCACACATTGTTTTGCAAAGATGTTTCTTTCAGTGGGTGTTTGCGAATGTGGCAACATCGTTTATGTTTAAGATTGACTCAGTTCGCCACCATGGTTGGACCACAGACAGATCATTCGGTGGACGACTTGTAGAATCTGAAGTTTGATCTTGCTTGCAGGTATGCCTTCTTGTTTGAACTGCTGGCATTCTGGCAGGCCATCCAGGCTCACAAGCTGCAGACTTTAAGATGATGCCATGCCCGGTTTCAGACGTGTGTATCTTTTTCGCCCAAGTCAACACCTATTTCAGGGGAAGTATTGAGTCAAGATGCTGCCGCGCATTGGCCACGTCCACTTTTTTCACAGGTGACGTGTTTGGTGCTCTACTACTTGACGGTCTCCTTTGACAATTGGCACAGTGTCCTGTTCTATGCCTTGGCCTGGGCGGAATGGCCCTTGATGCTGTTTGGTGTCCCTTGGATTGCTAAAGCAAGACACCTCAAACTATCCTGACCCAACCATGGAACTGGAAATACCACTGCTTGGGGAGGAATCCACGCACGTGCGACTTTTCCCACTTCCATCATATAGCTTTGTCACGAAAGCGAGCTCAGAAGGAGCTCAGCGGAAGTTGTTGTTTACGAAATATAGTGAAGCTCAAAATTGAAAGGTTCAGTGAACTAATAATTGATTCTTTCAATTAAAGGGAGTGGTCAGCCGAGGGGGGGGGGCCCTCCCTTTTTATTGATTGTTTCAATAACCCCTCCCCCTCGCAAAGGAATTGATAGTTCAATTGCAGATTGAAACGTTTAAAGGGGGGGCCCCCCCTGTAAAGTGAATTGAAAGAGGCTATTCGACTCCTCCCTCGTCCTTGTGAGAAAGCATACCAAATGCCTAGAAAAGACAATATGAAAGTCGAGGCTTTTTTTAGTGTTTGGTTGACTCAGCCAACAACACTTTGCACTCGTGGCACAAAAGCGTTGCGTTGCTGCCCTCCCTCCGCGTCCCTTTGATCCTTCCACACCCCTCGCTTTCGTCCCCACTGTCCTCAAGTTGTGGATCCAGCAAGTATATCTCCACGCATCAGCGCCCAGATGCACTGGAGCAGTGTCACACATCCAGTCAGGGTTTTTTCGACGACGAAGATCCTTCACTCAAAGAGTTTCTTGGGAAGAGCAATTTCCTTCGCACCTATCCAAGGTCATGCCGGTGTTGCTGGAGCGGCTGACACTCCGAAGTTCTATTGGTGAAGAGACAGATGAGAACCTCGCAACGTTGCCAAAATGTTCGACATGCTTTTGATAGGTGGAAATACAATTTCCTGTCAGATACTTTGTCGATTAAGTTCCAAACAAGTGGGTTTTGACATGATTGGCACCATGAGTCAGAACCTACTCTGGTCATATTATAGTTGGCCCACTCCTGCTTCAGAGAAAAGAAACACCACTTAGTCCACCAGTGCTCGTGCCAAGGTAAGAATGGTGTCATTGGAAACAAAGGCAATGATGCTCAGGCACGGAAAAAGAGGTGTGTGTTATATACTGTAATGATTGTGCATGTTTGACAGCAATGCCATCTTTGGTGAGTCAAGACATTTGAGAGCGAGGTGGTTTCCCATAAGAACAAGCTTTTGATGGAGCTGCATTTGACATCATGTTCCCTGTCCTTCGCAGGTATCATGTCCGCCTCGCACAGCTCAAGGGCTTTGAGGAGCGCCAGGAGCACCAGGAGCGTCAGCATCAGGAGAAGAGGCACCGCCGGTGGACCAGGAGATGTTAGTTTTGGCCTTCTCATTGTTTGACCAGAAAGATCCATAAAGCTCCTTTCGTTACAAAGAAGGGGTTCCATTAAGACAACATCCAGCTCAAATATATCCAAGTTTGGATTATCTACCATTGCCACGGGACTCAGTAGAATCAGTGGAGCATTGTAGAACTCTGAGCTTGATAGGATACACTACGGTGAAGGAGCCTGCTACATGTGTTCATGTTTCGGAATTTGGTCGAATTCTGTTGACTGTTGACTAAACTGTTTTGCAAGGCTTTGCAAGGCTTTGCAAGCCTGTAAAACCATGAACTTAATGAAGATTAACTTGTCTACTGCGCCAGGTCAGCTCTTTCAGTGCCAGCCGCAGAGGAGGCCAAACAAGGGTCTATGTTTATAATCATCCACAAGGAGCAAAGGACTGAATACAACTCAAATAAGACCAATGGAAATGCTGGAAAAGCAGGCTGTGTGCGGTTTCTTCGCACCAGACTTAAGAGATCCATCAAAACCCAGTCTTCCAAATCCCCACTCAAACCGGCGCGAGCGATGCCAATGACAATAGCATCAATAGCAGACTGAGGCATAGACATTTTTTGGCCTGCAAAATGATGCCATGTAGAAAAGAGCCGGCTGTGTCAGAGTTCGCTTCATGCGAAACTGCTCCTTTTGGGGCAGCGGCTTAAGACATCGTGACAGACGGCGCCCAGGGCCGTGTGACCAAGACCTTGAAGTCTCCAGTCCGTGTCGCCGCGCGCGCCGTTCGACTCTTCAGGCCGCTGCGTGGGAGACGGACAGCCTGGGAGGTTTGCACAAAGTGGTCGTAAGATGTCGTAAGTATTTGTAAGTCACAGGCACCTGGTTCTTGAATGTTCTGGACTTATGACAACTCCTGAAATTCTTCAAATCTGCCTCTATACTGGTTTAGCGCTGTTGCTCAGATGACGGGCGGGCTTCCCCCCGAGGCACTTCCGCGGTAAAAATAGGAAAGTTGTTTAACCGTCGGTCCCCGGTCCAATGCCAAAGGCACGGTTAAAAGATATATATATATAGACACTGTAAAGATCGAATATGCCACTGTTTTACCGTTGTTCCTGGTATGTGTTAAATAATGTTGAATATATATATATATATAATATATATATATAATAAATGATAATAATGACCGAAATCCGCGGTCAAACAGAACAAATCCGAACAACATAATCTCACCGGTTTACCTGGGTCTTGCAGCTCGAATTGTTTACTGCAGGCGCTGTAGAAAAAGGTATTGTTTAACCGAATGTTGAGTAAAAAACAATATGTATCTTGGTTTTGTTGCCGAAACTCGGAATCAAACTGTAAATATTGCCATGTTTTGGGGCTGGGTGTCGTAGTTTCGAACGGCACGGTTCACTAGAAGCAACTCGACTTGTTTGACCGACACCAGATGTCAGAGAGTAAATATTCATAAATATTCATGTTACTTTGCGCGGACTTCAAAATTAAATCGAGCATATGTTCTTTAATCGCATTGTCCGAGTCCCTCAGCTATGGATTCTACCGAAAGGAGCTGTTTCTCTTTTTACCCCCTCAGCTATAGATTTTACCGAAAGGCGCGGTGAACATGGTAAAGAACGATGTTGTATTATGTTGTTTATGTTTTATCGTTTTGCAACGGTTTGTCGGCCAATCTTTTTAAACCAAAGATGCAGTAAAAGGAAAACAATGTGTCTTTTGTCGTTTTCTCTGTGGGGGGTGCGAGCGGATATCTCTTAGCAAAACAACGCGGGCGAACTGGCTTAGAATTGTGGGGATAAAGACGACTTGGGTAGTCAGGGCTGCAATGGTCGCGCTGGTGTTTTGTTCAGGATTCGCGCCCTCTCCTTTTCCTGTTCTTGTGATGAATTGCGGCATGGCTGAACTCAACGCGGTATATAAAAAACATCATAGAAATAATCCCTGGCAGGCAATGTTTTCTTATTTGTTCCGGCTGTGTGGCTCAGTTTGGCTGTGTGTCAAGACCAGCACGTTGACTTTTGCGGATGCTTCCCGACTACAGCGATTTGACATTTCAGCAGCCTCGAGAAGAATCCTGTCAGTTGTGACCCCCTATGGGAGGCATAGCCCAGCACAAGTCAGAGCAGAGATCACTTGGCAGCGAGGGCTACGGGTGTTTCGGTCTTTGCCCTACAGCGACATGTGATGCAAGTAGCGCTCGCTCGAGTTGTGGTTGTATATGCATTTTATGAAACCACATGATGCCCTTCAGAGGTGCAAGAACAGAGTCAGTGTTCCCAGCGGATCAGCATGTCCTCCATTGAACTGGTGAGCAGGGTTTCTTTTGGAATATGGCATGAGTGTAGGCAACTTGCCAGTTGCGGGAATACTGACTTGTTCACCTCAATACCACGCGCATGTGTTTCTTCATTCTGAAGCGCCTCCTCAACTGACAATATGTTGAATCATACAGCATTTGCGCAAGTTTGAAGCCTGATGACGGCCAAGTTGGGCCTGCTCGATCACCCACATCCACTCATTTGTTGGAGGGCACTTGCGATTGTTCCAGCTGGGCTGCTTAGGCGAGCAATTTGAGATTGAGCAGATCTTCAGCAGCCTGGATATCAACAACAACGAGGAGGTGTAAGTATTGATCCAGCACTGTTCCTTGTGACTGACGATCAAGTCTTCATGATGCTGATCAAGACGTACAGTGTGCCAATCCTCAAAAAGGCTGTAGAATCATGTTGAACCCATATTCAAGAGGAACATGTTGCTCATAAAGTAAAAGACTAACGTAGAAGGCCAATCTTCAGCCTGATTTTATTCCACCTTCTATGCATGTCTTGTGTCTTTGTTTAGTGTTCAACCAAAACCGGAGCCACCACCGGAAGGTGATGCTCCAAGACCTTGCTGCTCATTGGAAGGCGCCGGAGAGTGGGAAGACTGACCGTTGCAAGCTTTGCAATGGAAAAGTGAGTCTTTTGGGCCATCCAACTTTGCAGGAAATAACCTATAGTTATAGTCTTCCAACTCTGTTCCAACTTGTGCAAGAAGACTTTGCGACTGCAGTGAAAAATTAGAAGATAATAAACCCTTCTTTGGGTAGATTCTAAACGATACTTGCCTAGTTCTACATGACAAGTCAATATCACGTTCCCCTTACTAGGCAGACCTGGCCTCAGTTCCCCGACAACCTTGGAGGCAATGGGCTTTTCTCATGCCATGGACTCTGCGGAGAAGTTGTTGGCCAGCATCGACTACGATGGTGGCCACCCAAATCTTGCTGCTTCAGGGCAACAACTGAGTTCTCTTACAAAAGTTGGCGTCATGTTAGCCTGTTGTGCGCTTGCTGCTGGTTGCTTTACGGACGAGTTTCGCAATATGCCAAAAGGGAGATGTGTCCGTTATCGATGGTGAAGCTCGGCTTGGCCTCGGCCCCCCCAGAACGCCCGTATTTGGGCGCACATGATCGGCCAGAACGCCCATATCGCTCAATGTCCAGACAGAAAATCCTTCGACCGTAACTGGATACCTCGGTACCCCGGGACCGAACGGTACCTCGACAATCAACGGAGACCGAGGGAGCGGACAGCTCACCTGGAGCAAGTTCCAAGCTGTGGCCGCGCTGGCCTGGAAGCTCAGGGATTCGGATGGATGCACGATGGGTCAGAACACTGGCTCCCCAATTCACACAGTTTTAGCTACGGGAAGGATCTTGTTTCGAAGGTCCCGTGCACCTTGTTGAAGGCAAGATCTCCCATGTGACCGTGTGCATGCAAAAGGGTCGGCTTTTTTTTGCCCATGGAAGGCTTGTATAACCACACCATGCCGGAAGGCTTTTAATGCAGGTACTCAATGGGGCGGAACGGTTCGCGATGGTTTTCGGATCTACACTGTCGTTTTCTGATCGTTTTCTGGACCAAGGCCACGTCGGTGAAGGGGCGGATCTGGCAAGTTTGTTGGGACCAACTTCGGGACGAACGGCAGAGAAGTCGATGCATCACTTAGGGGTGTACCCAGGTCAAAGCAGCTCAGCTACTGTAGTGCGTAGAAAGGCGAGCCCTTTGTGAATTCAAAAGGCTGTGGCCAAAGTATCAAGCTTTGTAGATTGTAGATACACATTTTGAGGTACAGTGTACTGTATGAAAGAGACCGGTGTATGAAAATATGTATAAACAGAGAGAGATTCTAGTAGTGAGAGCCCCAACCAATGTTACTCTCATACACAGAAAAGGTATGAGCGCTGCTTCACAAAAAGCAGCGTGGGCAAAAACAAACACTTCGTCATTGTGATTGTTCGCCAGGGACGAGGAGGATGAAGACTATCGTTTGCTCTTTCGCCTCATTGACCGGAACCAGGATGGGAGGAGAAGCCGCCCCACCACAGACTCCACGGTACTCCACAACAGTCCCATGGAATCTACGATGCAGGATTACGGTCTTCGAAATTGCCAGTTGGTTGGAAGGCATGAAGAGTGGCTACAGCCTAAGCCGTGAACATGTGTGATTTCTCATCGGAACAAACACTTTGAAAGATGTAGAGACCCCGATTTGCCACAAGTCGTCCGATGCTTCCCAGGCATGACAGAAGTGGATGTGGCTAGCTTGCTGTATCAGCATTTTGGTCAGGCAGCATTGTACCGGCCGTTGCGATGATTGATTTGAGTTGATTTGACATTCAGTAGTAGGTTTTGGTTTGCCAGGCCAAACCATCTGTAGTTGCGGGCTGAGTTGGCGACTTTATCATGTTTTTTCTTTAGTGATTGGAAGTGCATGTCAGATGACAGGACTCTCAACATCTCTCAACCAGATTGGCAACGGAACACCATCGAGCATGGTTGAATGATTGAACTCAGGACACGGACGAGTTTGCACGATGGATCGCATCCATCGGTTTGCCCCAGAAAGGAGAGAGGTGTTGCCACCGGTTTTTCGTGTAGCAGTCGAGTTGTAGATTTGAGGTTTGCAAACAGATTCATGCCATTCCAAAGAAGTGTATGCATGGGTTGTGGGTTGTGAATTAGCTAAGACCACGTGAATCCAAAGCATGCCTTACCCTTTGCCAAGGAGGCCATGGCAGTCATGGTTCTCACTGAGCGAAGAGAATTCCGACGCCTGTCAAAGTTTCTTTGTATCTCCTGTGAGGGGGCCTAATGAATGCATATGAAGACTGTTGAGAAGAATGGCAGGCAACTGCCTCAGTTCTTTATTTTGAGATAGACTTAGATCCTGCTTGTGCAACAGAACTAGTGGGGCCCGGAGATCCTGGACATCAAAAAAGACTCCTGCAGTGCTGAGCTTTGCCCATTTGGCCTCCTGAAGCGGGGATGGAGAAGAATCACAGGTTTGTTTGCAATATCCTGCAATCTATAGCTGCCCAAAGCATGGCAGCTGGGGTGGCCGCTCCATTTCCTCAACGGCATAGAGGCCGCTGCGGCATCAAAGGTTTGATTGACTTCAGCAGTTTGCAGAGGTAAATTTGAAGAAGCTACACTCCGAACAAGGGTTTTTTGATCTGAGTTCTTGCAAGAACTGGGTTTCAAAAGAGTCGTGAGGCTTTGATTTAGCTGTTTGCCAACAGCTGAAATATCAGATGCAGCCACAGGCTCAAATCTTAACCCGTTTTACCGCCACCCGATCCCCGGCAAATGTCAGGCATCTCGGACGAAGCGACAAATGTGCTGCGCGATGGACAAGACTAAACTCCAAATTTATATTCCTTTTTGTTTGCCTCTTGGACAATTTGGGCAAATGGGCATTGAAACAAAACCGTGGCTGCAATATAGACGAGCTGGTGCCGACGATTTGAATGGTTGCTAAGCAATTTGGACCCAGTGGCGAGAAAAGAAGCAACTCGCCAGGAGTCCTTAGACGTGTTGCCTTGCTCCTTTTGCCCCTTGTGCCGGCTCTTGCAGAGGACATTTGACCTTAGGAGTGGTTCCACCTTGCAGGGCCCAACCGCATTTTACAAAAACAAAACTAGATTCTCTTCAGGTTTCTTTGCAGAAGCTTAGCAACGGAGTGGATGACTGGATTCATTCGATAGGCTTGGGGGGCCTTTGTTTGACCAGCTTTTGAGAAATTGTTGAAAAATGATGGAAAAAAACATCGCGAATCCGTGAAGAAAGAACAAAGACCCGGAAGGGCCCTGCGTCCGATCTTCGCGCGTCCTAACTTGAAGATCTTCGTGCGTCCCCGCAGACTACGCCGGCAGTCCACGGCCAGGAGTGCGCCTCACCTGTGGGCTCCATCGGCACGGTGTTGATTCAAGAACGTCGGGGCCTGTGTTGGGTTGAAGACCGTGTCGGGTTTGTCCCAAAAAGGGTTGGACATGCAGGTGAATCGTTCAGACAGGATTCTCCGACAGAAGAGTAAAGAGGACCATGTATGTTGACCACATGTGGTCCAGTACAGCTGCCAGGCCGGTTTCAAGTAGTGCAGCTTCGTGTTTTCTTTGAAGGCAGTCTATTCGTGACAAAGTGAAGAATTCCAGAGTTGTCTTCTCATCAGTTCAAAAGTGATCTTGATGAAGTTGGAGGTACAAACCAGAAGGCTGCTGCCATCCCACCTCCTCCACCGACTGAGGGCGGAGGCCGAGGATGCTTGCACTAGACCCAAAGATATCGAAAGTGTTTATTGTATGTTATTGTTATTGGGTTGTTATTTATTGCTGTATGTGTTATGTACTCATACCTTCAAAGAGTGATTTTGCCACTTTGGCCTGCAGGGTTTCTGAAGCTGTATTGATGGCCGTTGAAGCTGGGGTTACATTACTCAGAGTTACTAAATTGGAGTGCTCAATCGCGGGCAAGTGCCAGGTCCGGATTCTCCAGGATACCTGTCCCTTGGCTGAATTGTGAGTACGCACAGCTTTCTTCCAAGGGTTCGTTGGATAGCCGGGTTGCTTGCAGAAGTAGGTGAAGAGTTGGAGATGTTCAAGGAGTGGCTCAGGGATTCCTAAATGCTGCGCCTGACCCATTTTCTTGTTGATGCTGCCAGGGCGCCGGAGACAACAACGGAGAACGTTGGCTGCAAAAAGCAGTTCATTATTCATGATGGTGCTTCCAGACAACATGTTACCACTGTGCAGAAGGTGAGATCAGTTGACTTTTCCTTTAAGGAAACCGAACGCCACACTGGCAGCCAGCACAACAGCTTCGCAGGCACTCTCTGAGCCTTTTAGGGTCAGTGGCTCTTGTTGAGTAGGGTATGTCCGCTCAGTTCCACTTCGGTCCTGGTCTGGCGACCACGCTTCGGCCGCGAACGATTAGCGACTTCAGCGACTAGCCGTAGCCGCTTAGCCTTCGCAGAGGTTATTTGAGGTTGGTCTCTGAACTGTGCTCCCATGGCCGCCTGAAGTGACGAAAGTGAATAGGGGGTTGCCGTATCCCCTAAGCCGACTGACAGCTTTGGTGAGGGAACTGCTAAAAGTTTTGAATGATAGAAGCTGCATCACGCAGAACTTGTGTAGCCGGCACTACCGGCCATTCCTTTGCGCTTCTGAGAAGCACGCTGTGAAGACGGAGTAAGCTCTTGCAGAAATTGGAAGAGCCCATTCAAGAGGGGAGATAGAGAAGTTCAGCTGTGATGTGATGTAAGTGCCCAGTGTAAATGGAGCCACTGGAACTTGGAGAAAAGGCTTCGGTAGACAGAATAGAAGACACCGCTTGCAACAGCTGATTGGAGATTTACATTCCGGAGAGCTTTATTCGGGGTAACTTAATCATATACAAAAAGATCACATATGTTGTTTTGTGTTGGGAACGCCTGACACAATGCCCATCCATGTGAAATAAACTACTGTACGCTAATGTTTATTTCATGTCGTGTGTCTGGTGTCACTGACGTGGTTCAGTTGACAAGATCCGGACACAAGGCGACGACCCACAGCGCAAACCACAGCCTCAAGGAGCAAAGTGGGAAGCAAATCCAATTGGTTGAGCACCAAAGATGTGACGCGTGTCCTCTAGTCAGCTTTCACATTGGAATAGATCAGCATCAACTATCACAGGAACTCAGACATAGGGGAGGAGGTCCAATGACATGTAGACTGTAGACAAGGTTCGGTGATCGGGTTGCGCCAATCCTCAGAAGGGAAGAAGCAAAACCCTTACGGCAAAGACAGGACTCTTACACATTCGAGCAAAGGCTCCTTCTACCATGGCAGTTGTCGGTTTATTCATCCAATTTGTTTTTGCGTGATCATATTTGAGCCAATTGAAGTAAACGGGTGTGTAGAGATCGTGTTTTTGTTCGGTTGACAGAAAGGATGGACATCATCACTTGATATGGGTGTGGGTCGAAACCGCATAATCCTGATTGACAAACAAATATCATCTAAAAGAAATCCGTATTATGTTTTGAGATGTTTTGAGATCATTTCGAGCCTGGATGCTTGTCTTGCCGGAGGAGAAGTCAAGCTGTTCAACACTTTCCACGTGGGCGTTTGCAGTGACGTCGGTTGGGAACCTGAGAGGAGAGAGGTTGCACTGTGATAAAGGTGTTTCTACGAAAAACACACTTGCAATGCAGCAGAGCCAAAACCCAACAACCTCGGCAACCTGCAGCATTCAGACTGTGCCAAGGTGTGGTTGCTGTTGCACTGAATCATTGCCGATCATTGAGATTCATCAAAGGATGAGATCAGATGATAAATATATATCAATATTCCCATTCTACAAAATAATTTCCATCTATATAATATCATATAATAATTTGTGTAATATTATGACAACGTAAATTTTAAATAAAGAAATGATATAGAAAAAAAAATATATTAACAATTTGAATATAATTAAAGCATTTGTGTTAAAATATAATTAATATTTAATATAGTTAAAATATATAAGTTAAAGAAAAATTAATAAAGAAATATATAATATATTAATTAGACGACGAGTGGCTCGAAAGTTTTTTTTTTTATTACGTAGGAAGTTAGGAAGTTAGAGTGCGAGTTATTTGTTAAGTGTGTAGTGTTAAGTCGAGAGGTAGTGTGTGGGTCTTTGTGTGTGTACTTATGTCCGTGTGGGTATATGAGTCTTTGTTTATGTGCGTGTCCGAGTAAGTTGCGGTAGTGTATGGGTCTTTGTGTGTGAGTTTTTGTTTGTGTGTGTATGTTTATGTCTGTTATTGGTCAAGATTTTCTCTGTGTATATACTGAATGAATTTGCACGTAGGCCTTTTAAATCCCCTATGGCGGCTAAGCGATAATAGTCTAACTTATCGTTACGTATTAAAGTTGTATTATTAAGTCGCTAATTCTTATTTTCTAGTTCCCTAGTTATTCCGTATATTATAGTTGTATTATAAAGTCGCTAGTATTTATTTTTTAGGTTTATAGACACTTCGCGTACTAAAGTTGTATTATAAAGTCGCTAATTCTTAGCTTTTAGCTGCATAGATTGCTTTACGTACTAAAGTTGTATTACCAAGTCGCTAATTCTTAGTTTTTATCTTCTAGTTCCCTAATTATTCCGCGTACTAAATTTATACTATAAAATCGCTAATTCTTAGCTTCTAACTCCCCAGATTGCTCCGCGTATTTAAGTTGTATTAGAAATTCGTTAGTTTTTAGCTTCTAGCTCCACAGCTACTCCGCGTATTAAAGTTGTATTATAAAGTCGCTAGTGCCAATCTTCTAACTCCCTAGATACTCC